AACAGCGATAACAGTAGTGTATGACCAAAAAATTCGCAACATCAAGCCATTAATGTTATAGTTCCTGGCTTTTAACAACAAATTGCAGAATTCATCACTGTGTAAAGGTACGAGTTGTCATAATTATGTGTAATAAAGGTATGTTTCATTTTTACAAACCTCACTGGTTTTTTAATGCACTGTCATTCACAATTGTAAATGTTTTTTTTAAATGGTAAATAAATCATTAAATAAATAAAAATATTATAATGACTTTAATATTTTTCGTTTTATTCGTTATTTCTAAAATATTTATTGTATTTTTATTTATTTTAAATAAGTATCATGGCAGCTTACCCGATATTTAAACGTTAGGTACTTCTTAAAATTACAAAATAATAGCTTTTTTATAAGTATTTTCATATAATTTAGTTACCTAAACACGTACATACCCTATGTAATTTAATTATAGAAACCTACAAAATAACTATGGGTTTCTCTTTAACTGTTTTACACATCAAAGCAAGCTACAAAACATCTAAAAAATATATAGTTCTTCAATTTGTAACCATTTTTTCACAATCTTCGCTTAAATCGAAGTTAATTCTTCTACTTCTAAGAATATTGGCATCATTTTTGTAATGCGTTTTTGGCGTTCCCTCCTGCTCCGAGGTCTCAAATTCATTCCATTGTCTTGGAGACGTCGTTTCCTCTGAGTCAGGAGTGTAGGAGTCCATTCTTGCATACGGAGTTGCTTTAATTTAAAATAAACAAGTGAAAAGTGGCAAGCAGGAGCTGGATGCGGAAAGTCCAAAATCATCCTTATCAAAGGATGCAAGAGAGAAAATAAAAATAAAAACGCAACCATGGTGAAACCATCATTTAAATAATATATGCAGCAACACGATGATCTAATACCAAATTAAAAGGCGTTGCTCCATTGACGTTGATAACTTTTACTTATAAATATTTTATGATGTAGGTCCTCACCTCTGCATGCAATCACTTGCTTGTCGTTTATATCTTTTTGGACTTCGACACGGATAATTACAATTTAGGCGTCCATATTTGTTTTTGTTTATAAAAAGAAAGACAAAAAATACAATCAGGGGCCAAGGAGTCGTCTGACACTTCCTATTTTGAATAGCACAAAAATAATAAATGAAAAGTATTAGTTTTATTTAAATATTGTTGTTTTTATTTAAATGTACCTTAAGTGATATTATCTAATTAGTAATATTTAATAAATTATAGCAGAGATTTTAATGTTTAACTATTTCATTGTTAGAGCAATCACTGAATTAGTAAATTACTCATTATCTAATATATAATAGGGGTTAAAGTATGAAATTGCCGTTGTATAGTAATAGAGACTTTGAATTGACATAAAACCTTCATGGTGTCAGATTTTAGTGTAATACCTTTTTCACATGATACCTATGAGGTTCTTCTTTTAAAAATGTGAAACATTCGATTTTTGACTTTCAATTGCTTTTTTTTTCAGCTTAGACGTGAAAGATGGATACTTCGAAAATCCGAGTTATTTTTTAATACGAGTACCGACGCGGAACTAACGCGGCAGAAACGACTCGCAATATCAACGCTGCGTTTGGCGAAGAGAGTGCTAATGAACGCACCATGCGTTTTTGGTTTAAACGCTTTCGTAATGAAACCCTCGACTTAAAGAACGAACCACGTGGATGATCGCTCACACAGGTGAATAACGCTGAATTGAAGGAGATGGTGGAAGCCGATGCGAGTCAAATTAATCAGGAATCAGCGGCATTGTTTAACGTTATCCTACTTACAATATTGACTCATTTGCATCAAGTCAATAAGATAAAAATATATGAAAAATGGATACCTCATGATTTGACTGATCTGCAGAAAGAAATGAGATGATTTTTTTTAAATAAACCAGCTATGTCATACGATGTTATTTCAAACAAAGTTTTTGATTTGAGATATAGATCATATTCACGATTATATGCTTTTTTAGAGGACCAAAAAATTTAATATCTAATGGTTGCAAACGGCGTGAGGAGTGAGGCGGTATAGACAACATTATAATGTAGTTAGTTTTGCAAAAATCATATGCCTCTAAAGAAGAATGGCTATTATGATTGTCTAAAATTAGTAATATTTTGTTATTAGAGGGTAAGGTCAAATTGGCCTCGAAGAAGCTCGGTGTGCTAAATAGATCGAGGCAGTATTTCACTCCAGCCCATCGCCTCCATCTCTATAAGGCGCAAGTCCGACCGCATATGGAATACTGCTCTCATCTCTATGCAGGGGCACCACAGTACCAGTTTCTCCCTCTGGATCGAATCCAAAGAAAAGCGACTCGAATCGTCGATAGCCAAAAAAAAAGCGACCGGCTCTATCCCTTGGCGTTACGTAGAGATGTAGCTTAGCTCTGCATTCTCTATCGTATATATCATGGAGGGTGCTCCGAGGAATTCTTCAGACTAATACCGACCGCAACCTTCCGCCATCGTTCCACACGGCAAAAATTTCATCCCCACTACTTGCATAATTGGCGCTCCACCACTGTGCGCTTTTCAAGACACTTTTTGCCTTGCACTACCAATCTGTTCAACAAGTTATCGGCTGCGGTATTTCCGAACCGATACGACCTTCTAACCTTCAAGAAAAAAACGTACTCCTTCCTCAAAGGTTGGCAACGCACTTGTGACTCCGAGTTGCAGGCGTTTATGGGCGGCGGTAATCGCTTTCCATCAGGTGACCCGTCTGCTCGTTTAACCCTATTCCATAAAAAAAAATTGTTATCGTCACATGGTTTTACAAACTTCTTGAAATGTTGTAACCATGCAAAAAATAAACTTTCATTAGTCCATCCATTTTTTTGAACAGCCATAAATTGCGCCTGGTGTCCATCTTTCTCTAGAAGAGGAGAATGACGCTGTCTAGGATATATGAACATGGGTGGCACATAAACGATAGCAGCACTCATTGCGCAAAAAAAAGTAACTGTTTTTCCTCTCTCCTAAGAAGTGACAGTACCAAATCGTTTCTGACCTGTTTTTGCCAAAATTTTACATGGTTTTTACACTGTACATATTCCCGTCTCATCCATATTATAAACTTGATATGCTTCATATTGATTCTTTAGCATAAGTTCTTCAAGACTTTTGTAAAATAGTTCAACTTCTTCTGTGTTAAATGACTCGATTCTATTATACTTGTTGACTGAGGTTTGTAACACTGATGTTAGTATTTCTTTTTAAAAATGCTTCAAGACAGTCCGGTCCAGCACACTTGCGTTCCTTGTTAAAATTATGAGGTTTTTTCAATTGCTCCGCACACTCGTATGCTATTTACCTGAATTGCATAGAGTCTAAGCCGTAAAAAAGATTCGTCATATGAATTAGGTGATTAGCCAGAATTCGTTCTTGATCTGGTGAAAATATTGGTTTTCTTCCGAGACGAGAATTTGTTTGTTTTGATCTGCGGTATCTCTTTTGCAAAGTAAAAAATATTGTATTGTAATAGGTCCTAGAAACTTCTAAGTTTGCACTAGACTAGGGTGTATCACAAGGTTAAAGAATAAATAATCTTAAATCCGGTAAAGTTATCGGTATTCGGTATCGGTATCGGTTATTCGGTTATCGGTAGCTACGATCATAATATCATCGCCCGCCCCATCATCATATGACCGCCGCAGTCGCGATTTTTTTAGTAGCAGCAGGCGTACCGCATTCTCCAATTCAGACAAACAAAAATCCAGTCATACCAAAACATAAATTTAAGCTATTCAAAATAATTATATTGTAACATAGTTAAACTTGGTCGATATTGGTATCTCGATATTTCTTGTGTATACACAAAAACTTAACTTGTCTTTAATATTATGATTAGATAAAATGGTATATAAATAAAAACAGTTAGATATTAAGAAATGCATTTATTAAGCTTAATTTAACATTAACTAATAATATCAAGTAGATACTTTGTCATCACCAGCGACAGCGTAAGGCACATTTAATGTTTCAATACAAGAAATTCGTTAAAATGTACTTAAAAGAAATGTATATTTTTTTCTAAATCTTCTAGATATTTAAGTGTTATTTCCATATTTCTCGATATTTTTTCGACATCTGTGACAATACAAATATTCCATCGATTACTGAGTACTTGTAGATCGTTATTTTAACAATGCGCTTTTCGTCATAGGTAGATTTCATTGGATATTATTTTGCCATATAATTAAAATATCCAAGTCTTACACAAACTTACACTTACATTATAACACTTTGGTATTTTCACAGTTTCGCCGAAAAGAATCATTACTACACATTTCCATAAAATTATGGAAGACATTTAGAAAATATTTATTCATATAAAAAACTTGATTCTTCTCAGCTCTACCAAAGTTTAACAAACAATTTAACTAACTAGGTTAAATACTAGTACATAAGTAATAAAAAGATGAACAATTCATATTAAAAATATTATTTTTAAATGCAATGAGGCACTTTGATCACTGGGATTGTGTTAACATCACTGAGCTGAACAACATTAAAGACAGTTTCCTTTTAATTAATAACATTTAATTGAACATTATATTACAAATGATATGATAGCCAATTAGACACACTTTAAGTGATGTTTTAACTAAAAATAATAAGATTCCATAACTGTTCAAATTATCCTTCAAATTAATTCATAAATTAAATTGAAATAGCATTAAATAAAAAACACAAAAAATGGATGCCTAGTATAATTTTATTTAACTAACACATGCACATCTCAAAATAAAATTACAATAAAGAAATATTTAAAAAATAAGTAAACATTGTACTACATATTGCAAAGATTTATTTATATTTTTTAAATCAGAAAAAAAGACAGACGAAAATAAAGTAATTAATTAAAGGTAATTCATGGGTATATTCTCGATGTGTGTGTACTTCTATCAGTCTTATCATTAACAATTATAGAATCTATACCATTATCTTGAAACTAATTAAAACAAACCAACACTAAAAAACGCAGCATTGTTAGAAACAGTCTTGTAACTGGCCTTGAATATATTTCAAGCAAGACTGTATTTCTTCACTATCAGCCACCATTCCTTGCAATTTGTCTTGCATGTCGGCCAATAAATCTTTGGCCAAATTACCTTTTTTTAGGGCTGTCAGGCAGAAAGTAGTTAAGGCCTTAAAACATTGTTTCCGGTGGACATTGTGCGGTTGATTATCCCAAACCGGAGTAGCCTTTACATAGTTCCAGGCAAGACAAACATACTGTATGACGGATTCCCAATGTTGAGACTCAACTAAAATCTTACCTTGTTCAACTACACATTTTTTAAATGCAGCCAAATGCGTGGAAACCCTAGAATACGCGGGGGAGTCAGTTTTAGATGTAAGGCGAGACGTAGGTAAGCTTTTAAAGATATTAGTCTTCAAGTAACTTAACCTTTCTTCAAGAGGAGTCAAATCAGGGACTGGCATATCCTTTCTAAGCTCTTGTTCTACTTCAGGATGTTTATATGTAATAGTTTTGATGATGTTAATAAGTTGGGTAGGGCTCAATCCTTTCAAGGCCGTATCAATCGGCCCTTTGAATTCAGTGTTTAATGTTTTTTCAATTTTTGACCGCTTGATGGGAGGGGTACTCTTAACGGGGCTGGTGATTTTAAATTTCTGGGGGGTACTGATGTCACTGAAGTCTATTTTCTCAGGGGTGAGCGGAATACGTTCAGGGTCGAGTAGTAGACGTTTCCTGGGTGTAGAACGAAGAGTGACTCCGAGCTTGATAGGCGACTTGTCCTTTGGCGGAGTGCGAACGGTTGAGTGGAATGAAGAGTTCCGCCTCAGTTCGATGTCTGGCGACCATGTCACGGGCAGTCTTTTGCGACCTGGAAATACAATATTTTTGAAAATATGTATATATTATGTTTTATTTATGTTTATACTTCATACGACCAAAAGTATAGCTGATGATTTGTATATGGTTATTCAACAACACTAAGTGTAAAATTAATTTACTTATATTTATATAAATAACATTGTGATCTGTAACCTAATTAAAATATAAACAACAGAAGCCAATTCACAAGTTTTTTACTGCTACACTAAACATAATTTTTTTATTTGAATTTAGGAAGTAACCGAGAATTTTTGTCAAATGATAGTATGAATATTTATCTAAATTTAGAATGTAACAAATTTAATTGATATTTGAGTACCCATAAATTTAAAGAATTTATGTTCACCATGTTTTCTGTCATATCTCTTCATTCATAACTTATGTTAAGCACCATTGCCGCCAGGGCCTGAATTGTAACAAATGCTTATTTATGTAAATATTAAAAAATTAGAACCATTGCCTTTATAAATCCTCCCAATTTTTTTCTTCCAAGCTCATTCAGTTTTTACACAGTGCAAACCTACACAAAATTTATTTATTTATTTATTTATTTATTTATTTTCTTTAAAAACAACTATTTTTACAGGCTTAGCCCAATGCAATAGTGTTATACCACCTACTTATTTATTATAAGAAATAATAATTGTTAATAAAATAATTGAATGTCATATGATGACTGCACTGGGTGTTCTTTGTGTCCGTTTCATGTATGTTTATAAAGTCCCCAGTGACACAGGATATATTCCTAATGGGGGAGTTGTCTTTTAAAAAAAAAACAAAAAAAATATATTTATATACCAGCAATAAACCACACATTCGATGACAATTTCAGATTAACAATGTGGCATGTGTTAATTTGAAATTGTCATCGAATGTGTACATTCGAAATTTCAGTAAATTACAATTAAAACACAGCCTTTGTGTTTTAATAGATAAGCAAATTCTTTTGATTAAATTAGATTTCTATAAATACTCGTAAAGTAGTATCATGGTAGCTTAGTTTATAATTTATTTCATAATCTAGGATAAGGATTTCCAAAGTGGTTGATTTCGACCCTTATGGGTCAACATCGGTTTCCCAGGGATCGTCATAAACGAAAACTGATTTTGTCTAAAAATCTTCAACCTTTAAATTAACACAAGTTTTCATTAACACTTTTTTTCATTTAAATAGGAGGTATCACTGTTGCACTTTTAAAAACTCAACAAGTTGATAAGCATGCAGTAATTTGGCTATGGGGTCTGAAGTATCATTTCATTTTACAAAAGGGGTCTCTTGTCCAAAATAGTTTGGAAATCCCTGGGACCTTAGGCTGAAAGCACGTTCTCGTTTTTTTTTCAGACTGTTTACTAGAAGTCATAAAATATGTGTTTGAATGAGATGTAGATTGATTATTATTCACTCGTAAAAATAAGAAACCCACATTGATCCTGTATCTCTGACTAGATAGGTAGTGAGTCAGTATAACAATATAGTTACCCTGTACCTGTCAGAAACAGAAAGGATGACATTTGAGAGCAGTGAACATTATATGTTGAACAGATTGCAACAGTATGCACAAAATCCACATCAGTTTGAGACTTTGACAGCATTTCGGGCAACCAATCATCTCAAATTAGCGTCCAGGGAAACCTGACTTAGCAATAGACACTTGTCTTGCCAGCTTCTAAAGAAAGGTGTTCAAAACGGTGTTAATCTGTTAACTAATAATTAAGTTTCAATTTTACGGTGCATACTATAGAGGGTTTTGCTTAGGACAGCAAGATATTACTCGTGCATATGGCTTGGTATTCATCCATATGAGCAGTATCTCTTTCCTTACATTGAATTTCTCTCTCATACAGTTTTAATTATCTTTATACTCCAAAAATGTTTTATCTATCCTCTATCAATCGGTCCAGTTAAAGGCTTCAATTTCGTAGTGTCAAACAACGTTTCCTGTTCAGAAAATGTAGTATTTGACAGGACTAAACTAATTTTTTGTGATTTTTAGTTTAGTTTAGAGAGTTTTTGAACAACTTAATTAGCACCAATGTGAGTGTATCCTATTTGTTGTTACATTTCAGAAAAATACTTTGAACGATTATTTCATTTATATTTTTTTTTTTGCCATTAATCACCTAAACCACTAAACCAATTTACAAATTCTTTTGCCAATAAAAAGCTACATTATCAGGTAGTAACTAACATAGGGTACTTTTTACTGCGATAATGAGCACACATATGATCGGAGCCGCTGGCAAAAGCTAGTATATTATAAAGCCTTTACCAACAATAAACAGTTGTTTATTAACTACAATTTTATAAATGTTTTACCTCTCTGCTGGATCAGCAGTTCGTCAGGTGATGGTGCCGGACTTAAGTACCCTGCCGGCAATGCTGGGGATCTCTCTCTCAAGTTTGTGACAGGCTGAAGAGGAGTGACCCGAAGACGATCCAGTCGCACGGGAATTTCAGCGAGCGCCGCGCGGGTGCGCCTGCCACCATCTGGTGTTACCGCGCCTTCCATTGGCGCTGAAATAATAATCAATATCGGAGTTTATCACATACACTTGGCGGGTAAAGTAAAAACTATTTTTATTATAAACATATGTAATGTTCTACATATGTTAGAATATTATTACTATTATAATTATTATTGTTAAATGAAATAAGAAGGTACATGAGAAACTGAAAGTCAAATTGGAATAAATTCAGTAACGGTTTAAACATTAATATAGGGAATGTAGTTAAAAGGAATAAACAAACAAAATTTAAAATATCTCAATGTTTACTACAAATATTTCTAATAGTTTCAACTATAGAACCTTCATTAAACTAAACGGCAAATAGACGCTGATTTTTGTTAAAATTACAACTAATGCAATATTGTAATGCACTTTACTTTAGTTGTACCTTTATTTTTGAACTGCCTTATTTGTATCTTGATCAAGTTGTGGCTTTGAAACTGAGATGAAGAAGTTATTGTAAAATAAAAATAATAACGAAATTGGCGCAAAAATTGACAACTGCACGCGCAAGCGTTATTTTAATGTTGCCAGCGTTTAAACTTTATTCTCCTTTAGAGTACCCGACCAGGCGACCATTGACTCATATTAACAACTTTAAGGCCAATTTTTCGTATTAATACTTTAGTGAAAATTAAATTCCAATCTACTCTAGATCTCATAAATGTTATAAAAGGCATTATTAATAGGAAATCAGTAAAGTATTAACAAGACTGGCATATTACCGATTCAACTTTCGGTCACAAAGTCACAACACACAAATGATATAATCACATTACAGTTTGAGACATACACATTATGAGATCGAGAGTAGATCGAAACTGAATTTCTACCAAAATTGTATATCGAGAATTGGCCTTCAGGTATTATTTATAAAAAAAATCATCCTAAGCTAGGGTGTTCATGTCATTAGTCACTAAAAGAAAATCAACTTCCACTTCAACTTTTGGTTAATGGCTTTGTGAAAAAATCACAAAAGAAAATCAGTTACCGTTTATTGGAGGAAATAAAATGTCAGAAGACTGAAGTAAAATAACATTAAATAATTATTTTTTAGAACTCTAAAAATATTTCTGTCTTTTAAAACTAGTAAGGCGTAAGCATCATTCTACTTAGGGAGACGATCACGGCCGGGACAAATCACATATTTCAATGGGTCACCCTCAGAGCAGAAGCTAAAGCGGTTATCTTTAGCCTCTATCCTGAGGGTTATCATTCATGTTACATTTTCCGTTATATTATTTATATTACCTATATTAAGGTAACGGTCGTTAACCATATACTTTTTACTTACTGTTTGTCTGTAAAGATTAGGTGATAAATGTAAAAACTTCTTAAACTTGAATAAGTGGTGTTTGATAAAACCACAAAGATTAGGTGATAAATGTAATAAAAATAGTAACGCAGTTAAGTTCAGATGCTTGAGGTCAAATCTTATCAAAGTTATATAAACGTTGTTCAACAATTGCATTGTTATAATGTATAGATACATTATAACAATGCAATCATCTGGACTTAACTGCGTTACTATTTTTATTACATTTATCACCTAATCTTTGTAGTTTTATCAAACACTACTCGTACTTATTCAAGTTTAAGAAACTAAAATGAACTTAACTGATTAATACTTAACCCATTAAACCGCTTTTAATACCTGGTGCGACTGGGTTGGAATAAACATGACCATCACAAACATAATAAAAATTTGTTTGATCAATGTAAGTAACAAAGTGGGTTACGCTATTACATGACTGCCATACCAACTTTTACAAATCTTTTAAACTTTTAGAATATCTATTTATACAGGTGATACGAGTGCTGCCTGATAGCAAATCACAAGCAACACACCATGTGAGTAGTATTTTTGTGTAAATAATAAATTTTACAAAAAAAATAACATATTGATTTTTTTTGTAACTTTACACAGGTACATAGTATTTTATGACTATTGAATGTCATTTGGTCGTATTTCGTAGACATTTTTTCCAGAACTATAAAATAGCAACCAAAATAAATTTCCTTAAATTTATCCATTAAATAATCTCGAAAAAGCGCATAGCACAGATGGCCCGGACAGATCTTTTCAGCAGCACAAAAATACATAAAATATTAATAGCATTATTCTACAGCAGATATGCCAGAGTCTTGACAATATTAATCTGGGTGAAAGTGAGTCATTAACAATGATAGAGACAATAAGAATAGAAATGTTGTAAAAGTGATAACAACTAAAGTCAAAATGAAGTTTAAAAAAATCTAATTCATATATTATGTATATTTCTTCATTTGTTACTCTGCTACAGGCCTATCCTTTGCCAGTTGCCACAGTTGAATGATGAGGGTCTTTCCTGAGTTGGTCATGCGAAAGCGTTCATATTTGAAAATAATGATAATTTAATTTTGCCATGGTCACAAAGACTAGCTTTTATAATTTCATTTGAAACCAATACAAATTCATAAATAATACGCACTAGGAAATACTTTGTTTTTCTTTACAAACAACATGACAACTAAGACAAAAATCGCCTATACTGGGGACAACTATTTCTGGATAATATAAATTTTAGTCTTGTGTGAAAAAATTAAGCTCACTTTCCTTATTGCGCTATGCGAGAAAATAGATTTTAATGAATTATTAACCATTCGTAAAATACATTCAAAAGAAATAAAAAACAATGGAGGAGATAGTTTTATAAAAAATTTAGTAACTGTGTGCTATTCTTTTTAAGCTGAAAATCCCATCTGGAATGAGGTGACCGTGTTTTTGGTGCTATAAAGTTTTTTCCTAACAGTGCAGTCAGTACTACTGTGAATACTATTAGATCCGAGTTAAAACCGATTTTTTTTTAAATACGAGGGTGAAGGATAAAAAAAACATATCACTGGCGTAACTACTATCGCAAACATAAACAGACACTAGAAGCCTTTCTACCAATTCGCGTGGCGTACCATTTGGAAGAGTTTACCAGAAAGTGTAATTAGTGCTGAGCAGTGAACATTTAAAAAAACTGACTAAACGAACATTTCACATCAACAGCCTTTAATAATCCACTGCTGGACATAGGCCTCTCCTTAGAAAGGAGGTTTTGGCCTACTATACCACGCTGGCCAGAGTTTGTGTCAGTTTGTGCCTTCTTTTTGTAGTGCTGTTGTCCTGCGTAGTTTGCTCCCTTAGTCGGCTCTTACGACACCCAAGGGATGAATAGGGGTGGTGACATTCTGTATTCCTAATCCGTCACCACATGACATGCGAACATTTAAAAACAATGAAATGAACACAAGTGCAGTGATATGCATCAGATCTATGATCTGCTAGTGCATTATATAATAATAATTTCCTAATCTTTAACATAACTTAAGTTTTTCTCTACGATACCTACATTAGTAGGTAAACGGTCTACGTCTTGCAGTCGACTAGAGATGTGACGATCTGGAATATTATTAAACCGAGTTGAATTGTTCTGAGAATTCGTGCGAATCGGTTCCAAACCGAACCGTTGAAATTGCAATAAACCGCGGTTTGAACCGGTCTAAAGCGAATGTAACATACGTAAGCGATGTGCAACATGATTCAATGGAATCACTTTAACCATCGCTTTACGGTTTGTAAACGGTTGGCAATAAAGTTTACATACAAGCGTACCCATACCACGGTACTATTATAATACAGTAGTGTAACTGGGCCGCATGATAGAAATAAATGCCTACAGCCGCGCGGTACGTAAACATGCGTTAGGGCTGCCCGTCTCCAGCATTTTATTTATATTTGCCTACTTTCTGTTTCTATTTAGATTTGTGATTGTAAATATCCTTTTTATATAAATAAATGAAATACTTTGTATATTTAATAGGAAGTGAGCCCGCGATAAAAGCTGCAATAGCTTAAAAATCCTTCTATAGAATAAAAAAATGTGCTTTCTCCTTACGCGTTACAAAACTCCAATCCTTAGAAACTCCAACACCTACCTACTCAACTAGAATGCAAGAAACAGCTGACGAGTAAGTAACTTTTTATCTCAGCTTATTAACGTCTCCATAAATTAGGTACCTACCTACAACTCAAAACAAAAATTCTTTGGTCACCAATTAATTAATTATTAAAAAGCTGAACAGCTGACTACGAATGTTTTAAAATCACAACCCTCAAACATCTAAATCTATACTAATATTTTAAAGCTGAAGAGTTTGTTTGTTTGATTGTTTGGATCGCTAATCTCAGGAACTACTGGTCCGATTTGAAAAAATCTTTCAGTGTTAGATAGCCCATTTATCGAGGAAGGCTATATATCATCACGCTAAGACCAATAGGAGCGGAGCACCAATGAAGAATGTTTCAAAAACGGAGATAATTTATTACAATTGAGAGACGCAGAGGAAGTTGCGCGGGTCAGCTAGTATTATATATGAGTCTAGCTGTTGTTGTTAATACCGAGAAAATGAAACCAGTTTTTAGTGGTATATGTTGTTATAGTAGCAGCAGAAACACTTTGTGAAAATTTCGAAAACTATCTAATGACACACAGACGGTAAAAAATTGTTTCTAGTATTATTCATACACACAGATAATAAACAAATATTATTAAAAATAAAATACCACGTCTTTACTTTGAATTTTGCAAAGTAACAAAACACACATGCACCGAAGTTTTAACACAAGCGTAAGTAGGTAACCTACCGTATCATGATTCATTCCATTAAAAAGACACACATTATGTACCTACCTACTAGTAAGTAAAATTATTTTATAGTCTTACCTATCAGAGTTTCCAGGTAATTTAAAAAAACTTATGTCTGGATGCGTTATTGACGAATTCATACAACCAAAAACAGCACAATATTTCCTACTCGTCATATTAACTGATTTTTAGAGAAAAAATCGCGCGGTTATTGTTAAAAAAAAACAACACACCGTCCGTTCGACACTGCGGTACAGCCGTGATTGTCTGCGCCCCGAGCGCACCCCGAGATCGAGGCGCGTAGGTATAGCTCGCGTTTCGTCCGTTTGTATGAAGTTGGAGTACTGTATTATAATTGTACCGTGCCCATACTACCCGACGACGGTGTGAATTGATTGGTAGTTTGTTGAGAGCTAAGGGCAGTACAACAAAGTATTCAGTTAAGTAACACGATTACCAAGCCTTCTTTTTTTCTCATTTGATGAATATAAGAAAAATATGTCCGTCAGATCCGAACGGTTAGTGATTTACTAACCGTTCGGATCTGACGGACATATTAATTTTTTATTAATATAATATATATGATAAAAAAAGATTGGTATATATATTTTGTAGGTGCTAGGTCACATTAGTGAAGGGTTGCGTTTCAATTCAACAATTCTTACTGCCGTGACGCATCGACTCGAGTCGACTCGACTTGACATTGAGAATCAGTTGGTAAATAAATCAGTTTTGTTCTATCAATATAGCAGGAGCCGCAAGCGCGACAGAGTACGACGCGCTCTTGCGATCAATACGGCCCGGTTGAACCGGCTTAAACCACGGGCTAACCGAGTCAACTCGGTTTATGTTCAAACCGGTTTGAATCACTAGAAAACCGAGTCGTAACACTATTAAGTCAAACTAAATAAGTAAATACACATTAATTTAAAATACAACTGAGTATTGGTTATTTCTTCCTAATAAATGCTATTGTTCATGTTACCCTACTAAAAAGAGACGGTGATACTTAAAAGGGTGAGAATACTGATTTCAAACTTGTTAACTTGTCTTTAAGTGAGTATTGAGAGTGTATTCTCCATTACCCATAATGTTCGTTGTCAATTAACAAATGGACAGGCAAATAATTCCATTTATTGTATTCATTGAAGTTCATTCATTGTGCTTCGTGAATATCGAGATATTTATATTTTTGTAGAAACCACATACGACGAAAAGAAATCAATAAAATAAATTTATGTTATAATTTTAATTGACTGAATCTGTTCCGTAGTGGTGAATATAGAGTGTTTAACTGTGAACATGTATAAATATTAAATACAAACATTCCGTTATGTACATTAGTCAAGGACTCATGAAGTGTAGCTTATGTTGTCGTTTTATACGAGCTATTTATTTGTGTTATTTAGTGTTTTGAAAGTGCAGTGGGATTGATTATTCGTAGTATTTGTGAAAGGGCAGTTAGAAGTGGGTCAAATAATTCTAATGTCGTAAACTTGGTGTACCGATGCATCGTATGTTCTAGATCTTTTTGTGAAAATAATGGGCAAAGGGGATGTCTATTAGGTATCATGGAGAGGTTGTCCCATGATTTAAATCTGGCTCTGGAGGAAAGCAACTGTGGAAGGCAGGAGCGGAGAAAGCTTGGACTCCGCAGGCGGACCAGGTCTGCTGGAAATCTGCGTTAGTATTTTACTTAATAATATAATATGATTATTCTATTTTGTTGATGTTTTGAACTAAAAGTAAATAAGCTATACTGAGACTTCGTTTCAAATTATATTTATTTGTCATCTATGACTTCATTAAAATGTAAACTTATATAAATATATTTATAACAAAAATATATGGTATTTGCACTTGAAATATTGGCTAGCAAGTATAAAATCACTACACAACTTTAATTTATATGGACAACTTGTAGGTCACTGGCAATATGAATATATATTAAAAAAAAACAATGTCCTCAGTCTGAATAAAAACACATATACCTTCTTCAGAAAACAGTAGAGTAGTTCATAAAGAAGTTTTATATTATTTACAATTCATTAAGATTACCTGTTAATTAAGAAGAAGCAGAAATTCACTGACATGTGCCTCCTGAGCTGAAAGATTTAAATGCTCTGCAGCCAGTTCGGATTGCTGTTGTTAGAAATTGAATGGCCTTTTAAGTGTTTACTTAAAAAATAATCTATAAAAAATATTGTTATACATCTCAGCTTATAATAACAAAGCTAAAGGTGTGTCAAAGTTGAATGGACAATTTCCTACATTGAATGCATAAACCAAAGACAAAATTGAGAGTAGTAATTTTTTTATTATGATTATTAGAAAGTCAGTTGTTGTTTTGAGTAAGAGTATTCTTTGTGTCTGTTACATAAATGCTTGTAAAGTCCCACACTAGGATATATTCGTAGTGCGGGAGTCACCTTTTAATAAAAAAAATATAATTGTCATATAAAAGAGGATGAGTATCACATCCCTTGTCCTCCCTCCCCCCCATATATTATGTTCTGGCAATTTTTTTTGGTGTTGGTATTGGTTGTGGGCTTCAATTTCTACATTTAGACCCAAGAGTGGCCCATTACATCTCGAGGAAAGGTTTGCTAGGTGACCCTACCAAGCTCCTTCCAGAAGCGCATATGCCTCCTGGGGTGTTTACAGGCTTCTTCAGGATTTTAACACACACATGGCACTGGCACATTTATAATTTTATAACAATTTATTTTTGATAATAACTTATATTTATGTTAAAACTATTACTGGAACCCATTTTATTTAATTAATCAAGTAATATTTTATTCAATATTTATTTTATTTTTATTTAATGTGTATTATGAGATTATTTATTAGAGTTAACCATAAATGTTATGTATACAGAAGTGTACATCAGTAGACCAAGTGTAAAATAAAGTTATGTTTATATTTAAGTTACTGGATGACCTGACAGAACTTGTCCTGTACATGTTATACATCTTAAACTAAAAAAAACATTTTGTAGTGGACCAAATTGTGAATTAAAACCTTGATACTACTTGAATAGTCCAGGCACATTGACTCATTTACAGAGATAAAAAAAGAAAAATGTTATCCAGATACATACGTTTTCAAATGGTTAAAAGGGTTAAAGTCAACATAAGGAAAATGAGTTATGTGCCCAAGAAAGTTAGGGGACGATTTTAGGGGTTGAAATGGGGTGAAAATGGATACATCTCGTGTTTTTTGCAATTTCACGCGAAATTTGATGTCCCACTGAAAAATGTTAAATACAAAAGTTGTAGATCTTGGAAAAATCTACAACTTTTGTATGGGTCATTTTTTAATATAACCTCAAAATTTCAGAAAAAAATGCAATAAATCAAAAAAAAATTTGTTTTTTGTTTTTTATGTCAATTTCTCAAAAATAAATATTTTTAAACCAAACTTGCTGAAAGTACTCCTTTGTGTGTCCCAAACAACAAAACCAAAATTTTAGATTGAAATATTAAAACCTGTTTGAAAAATTCATTTATTTCGGTCCGAGACACGTTGTTTTCAAAGTTACATTTTACTACTTACAATCATCGTAGAGAGGTCATACAGGGCTCATTTTTTTCGTTTTGACGTCTACTTTTTAATGAAATAATAAAACAATACAGCTTCCATTTAAAAACATGTCTAAAAATTGAAAATATAAAAAAAATAATTTTACAAAAACAAATTTTTTGATTATTGTTAATAATTTGTTATAAATAAAAAAAAAATTCAAAAACTAATAAGACCATTGAATTGTACGAGAAAAAACACGAAGATACATATGTTCTCCTATTTAAATACATTTTTTATTTTTGTACAATACTGCTATAAACATTGTAATAGCATATTCCGTGTAGTTGAAAGATGTCAGGTAAGTACATACAATGCGATCGACTTTTACTTTAATAAGAAAAGTTCCTCATTTCTCGCGATGAAATTAATTTATTCAATTATTTTCTACATATTTTGATAAATAAATCGTCTTATAATTAACTTTTGTATAGAATTATTTAAAACATGCTTTTAAATAATTGAATGATTTTTTTAAAATGAATTCTGAATCTAATTTAACTTGCACCGAATTTATAATTGAAATTTATATCAACAAAATAGATTGTTAACATTACTACTACTAATAATAATAATAAAAAAATAATGGAGGTAAATGACAATAATGAAAAACTCAATTTTAATCAAGTTGATTTTTTAATGAAATATGCTCAAGTACTGATAAATATCATACATTTGCACTATAAATACATAAATATTATACATTTAATATGCGATTTATTACATATTTAATAATGAATACATTATGCACACTAGACCAATTTTTGTCTTTTCGCTAATTGTAAGTTTGGCTGCTAATCATCGATTAATTGTTCGTCGAAATATGTGACTTCCTCATTATCTTCAATCGTTTCTTCATCAAATTCCTCTGGAAACTTTTCCATAGCAAGATTTTCTGAGTTGAAGATGTTAAATGGTTGTTCAATTTCATCAGGATTATCAGAAATTTCATCAAAATCACTTAAATCTTTTGAAACTTTTTCAACGTTTGAACAACTTTCAGAACCATGGCATTTTGTGCATAACTCTGTGCATCGCAACTCATGCTCTCTGCAACCGCATCTATTGCCCTCACATCCAGTCTCACAACTGCAACAAATTATCTTAAGTAACTCATCTGGAATAAGTGAGTCATCTGTATAATGTGGCATAAGTAGTTTTGTATTATTTACAATCACTTGTTTCCAGCCCCATTTCGTTGCTTGTAATGTATGTCCAAGCCACATTTGTAGTTGGAAGTATACTCTGTACGAGTGTTGAATTGCTGCTCCAACAGAAGGGGGTAATTTTTCGAATTTAAAAGTCGACTTTGCAGTTAATAATTTAAACTGTGTAAATCTTAAATCATTCAGTGGTATTTTAGATTTTTTTGATTGATAAATCGATGCAATCAGTTTACAACCATTTCGAGCAAACTTTGGGATCTGCATTACTTTGATAAAAGGGCAGTGCTAATTCTTTTAACTCAGGAGCATTAATCAACGAATTAAAACTTGTTGTTTTTCCTTTGCCAGCAAAAGCGGATGTTGTATCACATCCAGTAAAACAATGCAGAAGAGCAACAATTGAATTAATTAATTTCATCGCGAGGAATGAGGAACTTTTCTTATTAAAGTAAAAGTCGATCGCATTGTATGTACTTACCTGACATCTTTCAACTACACGGAATATGCTATTACAATGTTTATAGCAGTATTGTACAAAAATAAAAAATGAATTTAAATAGGAAAACATATGTTCCTTCGTGTTTTTTCCCGTACAATTCAATGGTCTTATTAGTTTTTGATTTTTTTTTTATTTATAACAAATTATTAACAATAACCAAAAAATTTGTTTTTGCAAAATGATTTTTTTATATTTTTCAATTTTTAGACATGTTTTTAAATGGAAGCTGTATTGTTTTATTATTTCATTAAAAAGTAGACGTCAAAACGAAAAAAATGAGCCCTGTATGACCTCTCTACGATGATCGTAAGTAGTAAAATGTAACTTTGAAAACAACGTGTCTCGGACCGAAATAAATGAATTTTTCAAACAGGTTTTAATATTTCAATCTAAAATTTTGGTTTTGTTGTTTGGGACACACAAAGGAGTACTTTCAGCAAGTTTGGTTTAAAAATATTTATTTTTGAGAAATTGACAAGTAAAAAACAAAAAACAAATTTTTTTTTGATTTATTGCATTTTTTTCTGAAATTTTGAGGTTATATTAAAAAATGACCCATACAAAAGTTGTAGATTTTTCCAAGATCTACAACTTTTGTATTTAACATTTTTCAGTGGGACATCAAATTTCGCGTGAAATTGCAAAAAACACGAGATGTATCCATTTTCCCCCCTTTTCAACCCCTAAAATCATCCCCTAACTTTCTTGGGCACATAACTCATTTTCCTTATGTTGACTTTAACCCTTTTAACCAATTAAAAACGTAGGTTTCTGGATAACATTTTTTTGTTCTCCATATTCAACGTGCCTGGACTAGAACACACACAAAAAGTTTCATCAAAATCGTCCAGCTGTTTAGGAGGAGTTCAGTCACATACACATGCATAGAAGAATTATATATGTATATAACGATTTTATACAAAAATGAATATAATGCTGTAGGTAAAAGTAGGTTAACTGTTTGAGAATTAGTTAGGGGTAGGGGGAAAAAATGGGGTAGATTCCTGTTTAAAAATTATTATTTCCCCTGAATCATTAAATTTTACATCACAGAGTATAGCATGAACTGTCCAGTGACCTGTCTTCATTAATTTAATCTTCTTCCATTCTCCAAGCCTTTATCCCGAGCTAGGTTGGGGTCGGCTTTAAGTCTACTATGATATAGCTCAGCTTCGATTTTTATGCAGAGCGACTGCCATCAGATCACCACAACCCAAGCACTAGGTGATATTGATGTTCTGTAGAAAGACTGTTCTCAGAATTTTTAGGTCTCTAACTACCTGTAACAATTGCCACAGTCTCAATATGTTTAAAATGGTAACCCATCCACATACTCAGGAGTCTAGGATTTTGTCTTTGAGTTTTTGTTGTTAATGTTTTTGTTTAACATCTTCAAATCAACATTATATTAACTTGACTTACACAATTTGCTAGGTATGACATCATACCTTAGTATTTAATGCAAAAATGTCCTGTTTATAGTTTAGACGTTTAATAAAAAGATACTAATTTGACTTGACGGTTGTCTTCCCAGTTGTAGGTGTGTTTGAACTCAAAATGTAGGTAGACGTGAGATATATTGGGTATTACATAATTTTTTATTTTTATAGGATGCTATTGACTGACCCCATTTTACATGTTTTTTCGTTTTTACACTGTAGGGGGGGCAAACGAGCACAACAGTCACGTGATGGTAAGTGATTACTGCCACCCATGGACCTGCAACTCAAGACTCATGTGCAATGCCAGCCTCTGATCAGCCACTCCAGAATTAGGGTATCCTAAAATAAGCTATAACTTCAATGGGCTCTTTAATGCATGAAATTTTATTAAGCTGTAACGTTTAGCCCTTAGAAGTTTTTTTTATTGCAAGAATGTTATTATGACCAGCCAACAATGTATGGACCCAAAGACTTACAGAGAATCACACAATTAAGTTGCGGGAACAACAACTAACTTATACTCATATGCTACATGCGTAAAGGAGAGAGCTTCTAGTCAGGATATTATATGCCTACCATGAAATCTCAATTTAACTAGATTTGTCACAATTTTCATGATTTGAAACTAGTTGCACGATTCTTAAACTCTTATTATGTAGGTAACTTCAGTTAATATTCCATCCAATTTATTAAATTTTGCTATTTGCATTACAAAATATTGTGACCTGCCTGGGGACGAGGTCAAAGCGAGCCATTGATGAGGGCACTTCGGCCCCCACATTGTTTGGCACTTTCAATAGTTACTTCATTTATTTAAGGCCGGCAATGCGCTTGTAACTCCTGAGTTGTAGGTGTTCATGGGTGGCGGTAGTCGCTTTCCATCTGGTGACCCGTCTGTCAAATGTAAATCGCTTGTTTATAAATTTAAAGTATATTTTCTCGGAATCGAGTTTTTTTTAAATAATTAGCTTGTTTGCATGCCGTAGTGTCGTATCAACTTGTTGCAGCATGTCTGTTAAATTAAAATAATGTAAAATTGATAAAATACGAAAACGCTAGTCTAATTTAATAAATAAAGATCTACCAAAAATTTACTTATTTAACAGTATCTTTATAAGTATAGATATATAGGGCTGTTATATTGTAATAAACATTTTTAATAGGATTGATTCCGTAGTAAATACATTGGTTATATTATAACCTATTGGGTAATGGTTTTTAGTTTATAAAAATATTGGAGTACTCAAACCTTCTTTATACATCATAGACTAACTGTAAAATCCCAACATGTTTCCGTTCTGTACTTTTGTAGCTGATTGATTAAGACAAAAACACAAATAGATGCAGTTGAGCACTTTATTTTATAAAAAATTCTGATTTTATAGTGTATTATCATTGAACGTTAGTCCTGAGATCCTTAAACTTGTTACAGCAGCCGCAGTAACAGTAAGTTTAGTTGAAGATGGCAGCTCTAGCAGTCCACCACAAGCTCCGCTTATCACACAACCGCTATCGGACTCAGATGATCCGCACCTCAACCTGCACAACTCCAGCCTCAAATCCAGGCATTACTGCCAGATCGGCAACTTCGAATCGGATTCATTTAATGAAAACTTTTCACCGACTAGACCGGCAAACGCAAGAAGGAAACGGAAGTATAAAAAAATGCCTGTGGAGTATGCAGATGGGAAGCGATCTCCTCCTATTGAAATACTGAGTGTGACTACTGAGGTGAGCCAAACATTTTTCTGAAATTAACCAATTCAAAGTATGAAAATGACAGTTTTTATATCGCCGATGGAGGTTCCATCGACCCGACCTTGTGGTCCTGATCTTCATTACCTATCAGTTTTCTTTAGCAGGAGCCTTTTCTGATTAACCTGCATGGCGCTTTAGTTATAAACCCGTCTGGTGATGGCAGACTGGTCATTTCATCTCTGCTATTCTAGTGTCTCGTTTTTTTTAAATTGATTATCAATTGTACCATTGGCGTTTGAAAGTGTTCAGCACAAGGCCTACTCAATAAAAAATATTGGAGTTTGAGTCCTACACAGAAACAACTGACGCAAATCGCCGGGCCTGTTGGTCTAGTGGTTAGTGACCCTGACTGCTGAGCCGGAGGTCGTTGGTTCGATTTCTACCCAGGACAAATAATTGTGTGATAATCACGATGATTTGTTCTGTTAGAGAATAGAACTATGTACGCCCCTTGTAATAGCGGATTTTGGCGTCTAGTGAACTCACTCGGTGAAATGCAACAAAAGAATTAACACCGGCTTTCTGTGAGTCCGTGGCATCACTTCAGACAAGCCGGCCCAAAAGCGTGGCTTTCCCACGATTGACAATGAACTTTTGCACTACTTTTTTTTTCATAATTGCGTTCACTTTTTTTTATAAAATAGTGCTATGTTCGACTCTCCCTGGCAATGTAAAACATGTGCACCATTGCATGATGATGACCGGTAACGGCAGCGCATAAAATACATAGATTTTTATAGATTGTAATATCTGTCACATTGGTTCAAAGAATACTTGTATATATTATTTACTATTTTACTAGCCTTTGATCTGGTACAATAACTTAATAAGCGTGTGAATGTTATGTATAATTTATTATTGAATCAATATTTGAGTTTGTATTTTTATGATGAATATTAAGAGTAGGATGCCATGTTTCTTTATATTTGGGCCAATGATAATGATAAAACGGCTTCACAGAAAATCGGTGCTAAGCAAATTTTTCGTTGCTTAAACTGAATGACGTAACCAAAGCCAAACCTCACCCAGCCCCCCAGACCTCACTCAGAGGGCGACAACTTGAAACTCTTGAGCTGCAGGTGTACATGGGCGACGGTAGTCACTTAACATCAGGTGACCTATCTACTCGTTTGCTCCCTATTCCATCAAAAAAACACTCCTCGTTATGAAATTTCTGTACCTACCCACACTAGGTATGTATTATACAACACTATTATCGTCCCTTTTTAACCTCCTTAACGCAAATAATTCGTTAACCATTCAGGGAATTTAATTCTTCAGTTCCGGCGTGAGGGCTCGGGTCACGTCTTCTTGAGCAAATCCTGTTTCCTAATCCTATTTTGCTGCAAAAAATTGTTAATCAGTACGCTTGATGATGATGGCTTACAGGTTTAAATCCATTTTACTTACAATTATATGTTTTTATACCTATTTATGATCTGCAAACGTAACATTTATCTATTTTATCTTACTTATCTGTTACGTAAATAACTGAACTTCAGCCTTGATAAAATACACTTGTTTGAAACTGAAACATTGATTATCATATTTTGTAAATTAAAAAAAATATTTCAGCCAAATGCATTGCCGGCGACAATTATTCTCCAGGGTCAAGTGTTGGCGCCAATGATGCACGGAAACAGGCATAAAACACACTCCAAGACAGACAGGTTAGTTATATGTGTTCATGTTTTGATAATTTTGTTTTTGACAGTTTCGTGATAGAGAAAACTTCTCTTAGTTCTCACAATTCTTATATAAAATGGAACATTGCTTTATCTATAAAGGAAAAAAGTTATCACTAAAATATGCTCAACACTGCACCTATTTCCTTTATGCTATATATGTAGTCTTGTCCGCGTGGGGACTGACTAGAGTACGGAGTGTCACCACCCCTTTCCATCCCGTGGGTGTCATAAGAGCCGACTAAGGGAGCAAACTACGCAGGACAACAGCACTGCAGAGAGAATGAAAAATTTAAAAAACCCATACCAACCAGTCTGGCCAGCGTGATAAAGTAGGCCACAACGTCTTGTCGAAGGAAAGGCCTATGTCCAGCAGTGGACTTTTAGAGGCTGTAGATGATGATGATTATGTAGTCTAATTTTAATGTATACTTATTTGTTAAAATATCATTTTAAGTTATCACCTCAGGGTTTTCTAAAGCAAGTCATAGTCCGACAAAGCCAGTAATTATATTTGCCGCAGTGACGTATTATAATATGCTAACATATCATTGTTTTGCCGCATATTTTTTCTTAATTTTTACTCTGTAATATTGTAGGTACAATACGATTCAGAAAACTGACCTGTTGGTCCAATGGTCAGCTATCCTGACTACAAAGTCAGAATTCGTGGGTGATTTACGATTATTTACCCACCCAGGACAAACAATTGTGTGATAAGCACGATCCTTTGTTCTGTGTCTCTGTATTATTTATAAATATGTTTATCAGTAGTTTGGTTACCATAGCACAGACAACGATTAATTTAGGGTAAGACAATATAAAAAGGGATAATATACACGGATAAACAGCAGATAGATGGCCGTGTATATGTTCGTGAGTGCATGCGTGCGTGCATGCGTATGTGCGTGTGTGCTTGTCCTAAGTTATTGTTCTAGATTTTATGATAAATTATTGAATGTATGCAGTCTATGATTTTTTCAACTGAGCTGTTAAGAAGCTAATGATATCTCAAGCGGTTAAATCCGTCAAAACTGTTAAGCCGCACATACACCTACACACTATTGACAAACACGGTCTAGTAGAAATCGTTTCTTTTCTCTACTTAGTTGTGTATTAACACGATATAATACTGCCAATCGAAACATTGATAGGAAAAAACATATCAATTTGGTCCATGGTCAATAGGTAAATGTTCCCCCCCTTTTTTTTGTCTGTGCAGAAATCCCTTTGGATACCATTTTACCTGGTGGTTATGTCGGTCATAACCCGACCAAAAACCGCACGCCGTCTCGGGTACCAATAGCCAGGGAACCAGGTGTGCCCTAGGAAGGTAAATGTTCCCCCTGTCATCATGTCATGTCAACATCTAGCTTGTACTAGAAATGTTTTTGTTTATGGCTACGGTAACACGAGCTGTAGTGCGAATAAAGTTCCCAGTATTGTGTTGATTGTTTTGAAAATAAGAACTAAGATATGTTCACCATGTATTTCGTACAAAAGTTTATTCATGAATTTACAAACAACGTGGCCTTAAAAATGGGCTATCACCTTTTTAAGACATTTGGCTGGCCTAGGATTCACTGTGGTCAAAATTAGACCACACTTGTAAAAGCAATAGATACTCGATGATTCTAAATAAAAGTCATATACTAATTATTGGTTAGTGCTTCTTTATTTACGAATAAATATTATAATAATACATTCATCATCAAAACACGGCACGATCCCAAATTATGTAGTGCCTGTGCTATAGTAACCAAACTACTGATAAACATACATTTAAATTTCTAAATACACAAATATTATAGATAAATTCCACATATAATAAAATGTTGTACTTATTACAAAACTTTTTGTCCTGGGTAGGAATTGAACTCGGGCTTGGCAGTCAGGATTGGTAACTATTAGACCAACAATTTAATAGTCCACTGCTGGATATAGGCCTCTCCTTAGGAGGTTTTAGCCTACTATACCACGCTGGCCAGACAAAGTGTCAAGTTTCCCTTCTCTCTGCAGTGCTATTGTCCTGCGTAGTTTGCTCCCTTAGTCGCCTTTTACGACACCCACGGTATGAATAGGGGTGGTGACACTCTGTATTCTTAATCCGTCACCACACGGACAGAACGGACGGACGGACCAACAAGCCATGTAATAATTATTTATTAAATAAAATTAAAACTCATTCACCTTTAGTTTCAAATATACTTTAAAGTTAGTTTGCACTTTTCAAATATACTTTGAAGTTTGTTCTAGTCGCTTTTGTTCTAAATGTTCACGTGATTACATAAAATAATTTACCTGCTTGAACAACGGCACGGGATTCGTTTGTCCTTTTTAATATGTTGGCGCTTAAAACAAGTTCTTAAAATCCTTTAAAAGAGCCTTGTAAAAAAAAATGTATTCCAATATTTAGTATTAATTGAATATGCTTTTTAGTTGTTTCTTCAGAAACGCGTTCTGCGGTAAAAGAAAATGGTCTCACAGAGATAAAGGGGACGGCTGTGAAATGCGAGAGAGGTCCTTTAGCGGTGGTTGCTCTTCGAAATCGGCATATTTCTCTAAAAATGATTTTAAATCGCGGAAATATGACACGAACCTACCTAAAAAGGAACCAATACTGCAACCGGGAAAGATTGTTCTCAAATCCCAGAACACAGAAAGTGCGCAACCTGCTACGATAACTACTCCTTCTTTGCCTGGCAGCTCAAGCTTTAATTTCGTCTATAAAAATATGTCTAAAAATGGAACTCCTACGCTCTCAAAAATGACAGGGTACAAAATAGCAACTGACCTTCCACCATTTTTCAGTCCTAGTACTAGTTCAGGAAAATACTACAGAAAGTTCAAAATGTTGAATAAAACTTATCCACAGAACTCATTAAGAAATCCCTTACAGTTCGAGGATTCCAATAGCGGGATGGACTGCGCTGGTAACGAGTCCAGCTCACTAAGCAGTAGTGATTCCGATGGTGTAGTAACTAATGATAGTGATAGAGAAGGAGATGATGAACTGACAGACTGGCCAGGCATCGAAGAGTTGAAAGTTTTCAATAAAAGTCTCACAATCAAAACTACTAAATCCGTAAATAACAACTCTCCCAAGTCTACGAGTAGTATGCCTCCTCCGAAACGGCTGAAAAAGGAAAAGATGCTTGTCAAGAGTGGGTGGACCAGTTCCAAAAATAGATTTAAAAAGAAACGGCCTAAAGTAGATTCGGGCAACGATGAAGATGCAATGATGTCAGATTCCAAAACTGTTGTCGATTTGGAAGAGGAATTAGTTTCTAAAGAAAATCGTGATATACTTCAGCCCCATTCCTCGTTCAGTAGTTTTAGCGATATCAAAAACGCCGGAGTGTCTGGACAAAACGCTAATCAGTCGTTTTTTCAGTCCTTTCAGGCGTTTCAGGAGAAATCGGGTCAAAAGGATGAATCTTTTAACCAGACGCCGCGAACAAATTTTTCGCTACAGAAAACTTCGTCGAGCGATTTGAATTTAAGCGAAAAATCACCGCAAAGCGATCATTATTATAGTGAGCACTCGATGGGGAATGCGGCTGTAACTGAAGTAAGAGAAATAAGAGCGGGGTGTAGGAGAATACGAGACGAAAGACCTGGGTTTTTAATATTGAGCGCTGCGAATGAACAGCTTTCAAAGTTCCTGCAAGATTCTTGCCAGACTGAGCTTAAGTTGCCCAGTTTCCACGATCCGGAAGAGAAAGAGAAACTGGAGTCTTTAGCGAAGTTGTATTCATTGGAACTTCAAGTGGAAATGGGTCGACCTGTTTTGAGGAAAACCAGGTGATTATACCCATTTTATTTCCAATAGGTATGTGTTAATAACTCGCTTTCATTCACTTCATCTAGATATAATTAACATATTTAGTTGAAATATTCAGTTATGTATACCTACTAAAAATAACAATAAAATAATTTCTGTCAAACATTAAGTTGCATGTCAGAACTAGTAAGGAAAGGGCTAAGAAAACTCGTGTAGTAGTCCACATGAGGGTAGGAGAAATGAAAAGTAGGCAAATTATATTATGAATTATAATAGTATGATATTGACCAATAAGGGTCAATTAACCCTTTTACATGCGTCTTGCGCTAAAAGAAAAAATAGCAGGGATAGCAATAAAATTATCAAAGATAAATAGTACACTTTGTTAATTGCTATGTAAACTAATCTATGCCATACAATATTGCAAAAAATACTGTGATAAAGTCAGGTGACTTACGACACTAAAAAAAAATGTGCTCCACTGTCGGCATCATATTTCCAGTTAATGTTGATCTATCACTAAAATTAATTTGCAACAAAGTTAAGAAATATTTAAAAAATTGTAGTTATAGAATGCCGAGAAGCAATTTTGAAGTTCAAATAAAATTGCTAATTTATGGCAGACTAAAAAAAAGTATGCGTTTTTCTTTACAAATTTTTCACTTTAAATATTTTTATAAAATATTTCATAAATATTGAAAATTCAGCTTGACATACTACAGAGAAAACAACTTCAAATATTTAAAACAATCTCAATCATCAAAAAATATCAAAAACCGTATGGGTTACCATGCCGACGGCAATGCCAAGGTAAGTAGTGCGGAGTAAGTAGTTTAGAGAAAAAAGCGGTTACATTCAAAAATCTTAGCCATTGACCCTAAATATATTATTGTAATGCTTTACAAACGGCTCCAGGTATATTTTGTGACAAAAAGAAGTAACAGACTAGAAGCCGCTCCGAAAGTAACGGTCATACATTTAAAAAAATTGGCAGCTAACTACCTGTGGCAGTCACACTCTGGCGTAACTTTGGATCTATAGAGAATTTTTGCGTTCGAATTTCAAAAAAATAAGCCTAAAACTACAGAGTTAGCAGAGAGAGTACACTATAGAGAAAAAAGCTTTTTTTTTTAATTTCTAGACGTATGTAAGGTCTTAAGTTTCTCTTTTCTACTACTTACTATAAGTTTATTTTTATTTATTTATATCAGAAATGTGTAGAACTACATTTTAGAAGAACAAACATCTTAAACCTAAACATACAGTTCAACACATCATATTTACATTATTATAACCTATTATTTATTAATAAGTAGCGTACATTGAACTCTGGTATCCAAATTTAGATTAAACTTGTGTTATGGGTATTAATAATTATGAAATAATAGGAAATTACGGGATAACGTGACATACCATTGAATTGACTGATCAGGCTGGTGTGGCCGTGGTCACAGTCTACGTGCAACGTGGGAGAGCCATGCTTTGCACAATCTAAAAACCAAAAAACGAATAAAAAAATGTTTTAGTGTTGGATAGTCCATTTATCCAGGAAAGCAAAGACCGTAGATATTACCCGTATATTATCCGTGTGGTGACGGATTCAGAATACGAAGTGTCGCCATCCCTATTCATCCCATGTGTGTCGTACGAGCCGACTAAGTGAGCAAACTACGCATTACAACAGCACTGCAAAGAGAAGGAAAACTTGAAACAAACCCTATACCACCCGTCCGGCCAGCGCGGTATAGTAGGCTAAAACCTCCATTCTAAGGTGAGGCCTATTTCGAGCAGTGGACTAGGCTTAGGCTGTTGATGATGACGACCAATACGAGCCAAGAATCAATGAGAAATGTTGCAAAAACAAAGGAAAATGTATTAATTTTGGCGGCGTAGACGGTGTTGCCCGATTAGCTAGTTAATAATATATAGTTTAGTAATAGTAAACTACTTTAGTAACGGGTTTGTCGATTACATGTTGATAAATAAAAGTCGATAAGTAAATAAAATTCGCGTCTCGAACGGAAACAGCCGTCCTTGCTATTACGTAATAAGTTTCGCTTCTGTAATTACTTATTCCATTTACATAGTAAACATTTCACTTACATTCCAACGATAACTTGTGTAACTCTGCTAAATTATTGGCAGGTGGCAAACAAGCACACCGTATTCAATACGTATATATATAATATATATATATATTCAATATATATAATATATATATTCAATAACTAACTACGTATAAACAATACGGCGTATTGTTTATACGTAGTTAGTTAAAAAATAGTAAGTTTTGTAGATGTTATTTACTTTATTATAGTTTACTTGTTATTGAAAGTGATAACATAATACGCTTATCTATCAATATATAGTAAAACTGTTAGGTTGTTTGTTTAAAATATGTTTGTCTAATTAACTAATAGCCGGATTCGAAAAATCTTTGTGTTGAATAGATAATTCATCGTATCATATCAAGGTACGTAACATACCTTTAGCAGAATGCTGGTGGCGAATTGTCACGATGTCGGAGCAAGCAGTTTCTGACTTGATGTATAAAGCGAAGACTTGACAATACATGTTTTAATTGTTCTTGTACATTTGAATCAATTCAAAACTTTTCCATAAGTAGCTGAGAGAAATCAAAATGCCCGCCCTTTTTTTTTGGAAAACCTACCAATGTATGTTAGCAACACGCACTTGAAATCCTAATCAAAATCTCGTTTGCATGTTTCCTCTGCAGAGCTTTATAAATGGTATAATACTTTAATGTATTTTATTTATTTTTCCAGCAACACAATGCAAGCTATTCGCGTAGAACATTCCTACCACAACTTCCCGTCAGATCACAAGCGCCGTTGCTACGGCGACGACACCGACACGAGCCTCTCATTGAGCGATCAGAACTCAGTCAACTCAATTAACGACCTCGAGGTATCCCAAGATGTACCAGAAAGACAGTGCGACATGACCCCACAAGATTTGGTGGAGAATTTTTCACAGACTTTAGTCGACAAATCTTTGTTAGATCCAGGGGAAATTGATTGAGGTCAAGAGCTGAATTTAAATGAAAATTTAATACAAGGTGTGAGAAGGACACAACCGACTGGCACAGATTACAAATATAAGGTGTGAGTGAAAACTTGCTGGATGTATTATAGGCGGCTTTCGACCCAAATACTACATAGTGAGAAAATGTGTGCAGTGTGATCGACTTTGTGGTGTATTTTCAACGTAATGAACTTAGTCATCACATCGAATAATTTAGACTGTGGCGTTGACATGCAGCAGAATTAAATAATAATGGCGACGAAATTATTGTGATAGGTTTTTTAACTGTATTTTTACCGCTAGTAACATAACCTCATGCCGTTGGTAAGACCTCTTTGTCAATTTGTTTAAACCAATGCTGAACGACTCTGATCGACTTGTATGCTTATATAGCTACTATAGTTTTTTTTCAATAAGACAACTCCCGCATTAGGAATATATCCTGTGTCGCGGGGGACTTTATAAACATACATGAAACGGACACAAAGAACACCCAGACTCAGAACGACAATTTGTGGATCACACAAAGTGTCGTCCAATGTGGGGTTTGAACCCATAACACTCGGCGTAGTATGGTGACCGCTTAAACCAATACGCCATCCGTGCAGTCAAGCACACCATTACACCAAAAGGCCAGTCATATAATCGATGAAGTTTGCTACTTCATCGATTATATGACTGGCCTTTTGGTGTAATGATCCTGACTGCTAAGTCAGAGGTAGTGGGTTCCATTCCCACCTTGCACAAATAGTGTGTTATGAGCATAATCATTTGTTCTGTGTGTGGATATAATTTATCTAAAATATGTATGTATTTACTTTAAGTATGTTTATCAGCAGTCTGGTTACCGTAGTACAGGCTCAGCCTAGTTTGGGATCAGACGGTCGTGTGTGAGATATGTGAGGATATTATTCTTATTACCTAAACTGAATTTAAAGTAACTATTTTGATATAAAATAGTAAGTAGAGTACAGTACCTACCCAAAACAAAGAATGATTATATATCAAACCTTATGTAGAAAGATTTATTATCGGCTAGCTTTGCGTTGCCAACAATGTCGCAGGCAGAGTATGGTAATTATTAAGAGTTGCTAATCCAATATGATTGGTGTTTTAGCAATTTATTTATTTAGACAAATAGAAATTATAATATACTAGCTTTCGTCCGCATTGTCTCTCACATACTCCATGTCCTCTATTGCGTCTCTGCAGCGCAGAAAATACGAATAAATAAATATTGAATTTAACTTATTTCATAGAATCTTCACGAAAGTGGCATCTATGATGCTCAGTTTTTGCCTTTACAAGTAAATAATAGATGTACATTGTTCTTTTGTTACATTGTCTTTTTGTTAGTGGTGTTTAAATTTACAGATCTGGTCAATTTACAGGTGATATGTTCAGGATTTTAACAACTCTATGTATATAAAAATTTGAAAAAGCAAACACCCTAGGTAACCTATAAAACGACTGATAAATCAATGATAATCAAACAGTATAAGCAAGGTCTCAGAGACTGCATTCAAAGTCTACGTTAACCGAATATCAATGTATAATCTTAACTGTTGAATACTGTGCGTTGAAATGGTCGATTATGTTACAGGATTGTTGGTTGGAGTCAAAATTATTAAACAAATACATAACCTTCAGTCAAATGTCACTGTTTTGTTGCGTGAACAATTTCTATATAATAAACAAATTAGCCTGAAAGTTTAGGAAAGTTAAGGATTTAATTCTTAACATTTCTGATAAGCTAACATACTTTATCGCCTAGTAATATAATATAAAGACTATGTGGTCAATGCAGGTCGTGTATTAGAATTAGTTTTTAAGTATTTTTTCATGTACTGGAGACATTACTATTGTGTTGCTAAGAGTGTATTGTGATGGCAAAATGTTTTTAAGTTATGTACTTAATTATTTTGCTGTACCATCTTTATTTATATGTATTTTCTTATACATTTGAAAAGATTTTTTGTAATTGTTTATTTAACTCAACAGAGTTTCACATATCAATGAAATTGTTGAGCAATTTTCATGTTTTTTTTACTATTATTTCATTGTATTTATCTTGTATGGAAAGAAACTATTGTTCTAATGATCGATAGTTTGAAAGTTTATGGGAAATATGAGAAGATCTGTCCAGTGATATCAAGACAAGTCTTCTTTATATTTTCTAATCGTATCCACAGTAATTGTGCCTGTCATTATTTTGTGCCGAACTTAACTGACATTTCAGTAGTGTTCTTTAGTTTCTCGCTGTGGTAAGGAGCGACATGTATTAAATTATTCGTGTTTTTATTTTTCGACATCCTTATAAAGACTGAGCGACCGTCATGGTCGGAATTTTCGTCGGTCTCATGACCTTCGTTATTTTAATATTTTTAAAATGGTGAATTTTGGCTATAAGACGTTACAAGTATGGGCGTTTTGATAAGATTTGTTCGTAAGTGTAAAATAAACTTACAACACATAAATACTTATTTAAAAAAACTTCATTTCATATTGTTTAAATATATATTACATACAGACATTTTTCCTTTCATAATTTTATATGGCCTCTTCTGTCCTCAAACAATCTCAGACGACCCCCCATCCCTCTCCCACGTTTGACGAAATATATGTATGGCCAATTTACTTAGAAAATAATATAATGTAAACATATCTTTTGCTCATTCCTCTTTTCTTTAGATCTAAATGGCTTTAATACATCGTGTTTTGTTGTAATCTGTTACATGTATGATTTCTATTAAGGTCTAAGGTATTGTTTAGGGGCCAATTCTGGCTTTCGATGAAAATATCTTTATCTTTACATAGACATCACAATCATTTAATTATATTTCCCCATATAAGAAGCTAAGTTCTACCTACCTATCTGTGATGGAATCTCATGGTCCAGCTGGTTAAGGGAAATAACAGCATTGTGAAAATAAATTAGTCATACATATCATATTGTGTGATCCGCATACCTAATTTAGTTTCCCAAAAGTAAGGGAAAATCAATTCCGAGTCGATTATTAACTGTATGAAACAATATGAATTGGGTTAATTAAGCACCTCACATAAAACGAATCCCATAATTAATAAGGAAGGATTGTAAGAGACTTCGTCCTAATGTGTGGCCATTCGTTCGTTAAATCTCTTAGTTTAATTAAGGTTTACTTTTTCTTCATTACCAATTGTATTTTGTATTTATTAATCAAAGCAAACGTATTTCTTTCTGGAGGCAGGAGTTTCTTCGTAATTATTTTTGTATACAATCGAGCAATACATTTCTTGCCAACTTTAGCACAAATGTAACTTACTACATATAGCTAGACCAAAACAGTTTATGCACCAAATAATTTCGCATTAGAAGTTAATTCATTTTGTCTGTTCATGAATGTAAACTACAGAATTGTTGTAAAATTATGCGACTATGATTAGCTGTTCCTAGTTATCATAGCATCCAATTTGTTGCTGACAACCAAAAGCAAAAAATAGATTTTAAGGGATCCATTATTTTTTTTTATAATTTATTTTATTGTAATACAATTGTGCATTTTGGTCATCTATCGTTTACAATCGTAAAATATTTTAGAGTAGAGATTCAGATTTTTTATGTAACGTTAAAACTGTAAATACCTATTACCTACTAACAGAATTTCAGGTTGTTAATAAATAAACGTAAAAAAGTAATGTATTGTATTTTTGTGTTTGAATTATCCTTATTTATAGTTTTCGTTATACCAACACATCAAAGAGACAGGAAAGTGGAAAAGAAAACTTATCTTGACCTTAGAAGTTCTAAAATTAAAGACCGACTAGATACATTGTCTTTATATCAATAATATACGATTATGATTTATGACTTTCTAAGTTTTAAGTACGAATTACAGTCATGGTCCTGTGGCTCATATTTGTTTAGTACCTATTGCGTCTTGGAACGTAAACTAAATGTTATATCTATTACTTGCTGAGTTCAGTTTTATACCTGTAAAATTTCAGCGTGGTACCTAAAATAATAAACGATTTTATATATCCACACACTGGTTTATCGGTAGCCAAAAAAATTCGCGCACATTGTGACCGTGAACGTAAGTATGTAGCTTGTAACAGTTATTTATCCATTATATTTGTATTGCGTACGGAGTTGTCAACAGTGACACCTGTCGCCCCGCGTCGCATTTATTGATTTATTGAGGTAATCTCGTGTATATCTCCGCCGGGTAAGCCGGTGTGTAGACCGCCTGACACGTTCAGAGGTTACAAGCTACATTTCATCATAATTTATTAATTACTTACAACATCCGGATTCCCACACAGGAGAAGTCAGAAGGGTACCAGGGCTTTCCTTTCTAGGGTGTACCTGGTTCCCCGGCTCCTGGTACCTGGAGATGCCGTTTTTGGTTGGTTTGAGTCCGACATAATCACCCACTGCTGGGTGGTATCCGAGGGGTTTTTCGCACAGAAAAAAAGGATACTAATGAAACTTGTGTGCGTTACCCCAGCAAAATAATGTCGAAAATGGTCATTTAAACTTTATAGATAATTAGTTGCTCCCCTTCTGTAATTGTTAGGCACATTTTTAAATTTGTTTCACTTAAACTTTTTTAGTTATTTCAAAAAAACATTTCCTGCTGGGGTAACGTTTGAAACGTTACCGCAGCCAGACATTTTCTTTTTTAATTGTAATATTGAAATAAATTTTAGCTAGATAATTAGTTATCTGGACTAGGTAAATGTTACAACTTATTTGGTATTTGTATTTTCTTCGGCTGCGAAGTTATTCGAAATCCTGCTGGAGTAACGTTTGAGGGTTTGCTGGATCTCTGAAACGGGTAAGCGGATTGTAACCATCTTTTGTACATAACTTCTTAAGGATTAGTTTTAATTTGTTCGACAATAAAATAACAAAAATAATGGACCGCTTAAAAATTATTTAGGTAAGTATGAAAACACTTCAATACGTCCTAACACTTTAAATAAGACCTCTAAAGACTTACTTGAAACGTTAT